TCTTATTCTGAATTTTACATACTCGTTCGCTGAATGGCGAGGGTGTTTGGTTGCCGCCCACCAGCAACCCGGTGGTTTCCGTTGGTTCCATCATATCTTTATTCGATCACTGCAGGATCTTAGTATGGTGGAGCTGGTGAGCAAGACCAGTCAGTGTAATCAACTCATATCTTGTACAGTTCATAGAACTATGTAACTGTGATTCTGTGCTTACGCTAGAGTGTCGTGTGTGAATATGCGGTGCGTGCTTATACTTATATATTTTTAATTATACACTGAAGTGACAACTATTATCAAATAATAGGGCATTTCTGTGGTGTCAAATCTTCATCGTGTGAAGTTTTTGTGAAACAAAGTCATCAAGATAGTTTACGACATCCTGAAACATGTCGTATTTATTTTCAGCTCCTACGCTGCCCCATAGAAGTTAAAAAACATACTTCCAGAATCGTGTTTTAAATTGTGTAAAATAGTGATCACTCTATCAGTCGATCAGTGACGACATGCTCAATACTAGTTTTATATTATACATAAACTCTCTCGAGCCAACACCTTTCACAATACACACCCTTCAAGAACTCTTCCAATATACACTAAATACATACTTATAAAACACGGCTCATCCGAGGCATATTGCAAAATACTATTACATACGTAGGGACTTGTACAAGCGCCCATTGTGCTACGGCTCTATACACACACTGTAGTCAAAACTGCTCCTATACTACTCTACGCATCTACACATTAGCATAGCTTGTTCTTATTATATACTTAACATGAGCGATCAACACAACGATATAGCCGTACAGGCCACCAATAACGATGCTGCCGAAGGTAAAGCATCGGCAGTTGCTCTCGGTTACTATGACGACGCTTTCATCCAATCATTCTCCGCCAGAAAGCGATCGAGTGGACAGATGCAGCGGAAAGCACCCGTCATCAACCGGTGAGTGTAGCCTCGAACAGTGCGTGATATGTTATCCGGGTGCGGTATGTAATTACGTTAAGAGAGTATGTAGTATACCCCATTTGGTTGTATGGCGTGTGTTGAGTTAGCACGTGTGTGCGCGTACGTCCAGAGTGCGATATAGTTCATTGTGGTGCGTGTGTAAAGGATGCCTTCTCCATCTACAGTGTGACAGCTTGAGTGTTGTCGTATGCATGCCGAGTGTGTATATAATATGTTGGTGTGCAAGTGTAAGGATTAGATAGGGTTAATACTATCTTATATGCAGGTAACTGTGTTGTACACTTTGCGAAGGTATCCTTGATTTCAGTCGCATATCGCTCTCGTTCGTAGTGCTGTGTGTTACGGAGAGCTTTATTTCTCGGTAGAGGTTGTATACGTATCATCAAATCACTACATTAGCCAATTTACATTTGTTATTCTTTTATTAAATCGACCATCTTCCAGTCGTTACATATTGATTGGTACTTATCTGACAGATGACCGTGCCTCATCAGTGTAATAGCAGAGTATGTTTCTCATACTCACCCCCGAGCCTTTATATTCAACCTTTAGCGTATGATACACAAGTAACCGTTCATAAAACGT